CTTTTTCCAGGCACGCTCGTAGGGAGTCACCAGCTTTTGGGGGATCGTTGGCATAGCTTGATATGCCTTGCCCTGGAAGAGAGTCAGGCTGGGACAGGGTGATGGGAATGGCTGGGCACAGAGATTTGGGGGCAGGAGGACATGGGGCAGTGAGATCTGTCACCTCTTAGCAACACAGGGTGCTTTGCCAGGGCCCCCTGGTCTCCCAGGACCTGACCAACCCACACTTACACACCTCTCCTGTGGTTTCCCCGTATCTCCCACACTTTCAGCAGGGTGCCCAGCTCTGTGGCTGAGCCCTTCCCCAGCCAGGGCAGCAGCCTGGGCAGCAGGCCGGCCAAGGTGGAGGAATGAAAACCCAGAGCAGCACCAAGGTGCTTCAGCCCCACCAAGCATGTGGGCACCACACGGTGCTGAGGGCCCCCAGCCATGCAGTGAAGGCAGTGGGGAGCCAGGGCCACCCTGCCTGCAGGCAGGGCTCCCACTGGGCCAGCAGTGACAGCCTGGTGGAAGGAGCTGGCCAGGCTGGGCAGGCTAAAGAAAGGGAGGCCAGATTGTCCCACCTACATGCAGGGCAGCACGGAGCCCATGGCAGAGGAATACTGACCCTGGACATCACAGGACAAGGCCTGGCTGACCACACCAGTGTTGTTCTCCTTGTCTGAGTCCCACTCGTAGACAAACAGGGAGGTGTGGGATGAGCCTGCATCAAACACCATCCCATGCTGGAAAGAAAAAGCAAGGCATCATCACATTGGTGGGAGGAGCAGCAACCTGGCCCTGGTCCCACCATGGTCCTGCCAGGGTGGTGGGACCAGAGGATGCCCCAAAAATCCCCTCTGTAAGGCCCAGGTGCCTGCCCCGTGGCAGAGCAGTGTCCCTGCTTGGCCTCAGCACGGGTGCTTCTCACTGGAGCTGAGGGATTTTCTCATTCTCCTCCCAAGGTCTGTGCAGCTCACTTAAACATTTTTGTGGTTGTTTCCTCATGCTTTTTTATTTTCTTTCTTGGTCACATACCTTTTCTTTCTACACTGGCCCCACCTTGGTGGCAGGAACAGCCCCCTCTTCAGTGCTCTCTGCTACCCCCATGGCTGTGCCCAACCTTGGCTGGGGCTGGCAAGTTGAGGACCACCCATAAAGTCCTTCACATCACCTCGAGACCATAGCAACCCTCTTCCAGCAGCCAGAGTGGGATGCCAAGCTGCAAAGGAGGGCTGGGAAGAAGCTATGATGCTGGTGCTGTTATGTGAGAGGGTCAGGGCAAGGCTGGTGGGAGCTGGTGGGAACAAGGGCCTCCTGGAGGTGGATCTCCCTGTGGTGTGGTGCCCTGGGAGGGAAGAGGGAGTGAGACAGGGCTTTGCCCTCTCCAACTGCCCCAAGGTAATCTCCTTGAAACATATCAAGCATGTAGATGGTGGCTGGATTCAGAGGAGGCTTCCCTGCCTCCATGCCAGGTGGCTGGGCTGTATTTCTTCTGCCTGCCTCTTGTGATGGAAAGAAAACACCCACCCAGCTGCTGCAAGGGCCTTCTGACCAACCACTACCTCCTAAGCCTGAAGATAAGCTGTTGTCTCTGGGCACCTGCCCAAGGTGACCAGTCTCTGCGGTGCTGCTTGGGGACCCTGTTCTGGGCTCACCTTGACTGTGGGTGGCAGGGAGACGTCGTCAATCTCCACCAGGCTGAGAACAAGGGCTATGATGGACAGTGTGATCAGTGTCCCAAGAGTAGCAGTGCTGAAGTGCTTCTTGTTAGCAAAGATCATGGTGAAGGCTCCTGCAAACCCACACCCAGGAGAAAGGTGGTTGGACATGGCAAGCTGGGAACAAGGCAGTGGAAGCTGTGAGGAGATCAGCTCCAAAAGCTGTCCCCAGGCTGGCACCAGCTCAAGGTGTGTAGCTTGGAAATCCTGGTGAATAATCAGATCTTTACCTGGGAACAGCAAGATTAGGATAAAATAGGGAGGGCTGGAGGGAAGATGGGCTGGTAGCCCAGCAGCTTGGCACAGCTGTATTGGGATCACAACAGGTCCTGCACCCACCCCTTGGCTCACCACTATTGGGAAGGATCAGGTGCGTGGGGAGCAAAGGAAACACTGCACCAAACAGAGGAGAGCATGAGAAACAGCACAAAAACTCAAGGTGGGATATTGTAGAAAGGGACAGTGATTGGATTTTCCAAGAAGTAAGGTCAGCTCCCCTGCACCCAGAAGCTCCCAGAGCTGGGTGCCCAGGTGGGATGCTCAGAACTGGCTTGTGAGTCTTTGCTGTGGCTCTGAGCTCCTCCACCGCCTGCACTAAACCCACCTTGGACTTACCTTTTATATCCCTTGGGAGTAGGTACTGCTTGAAAATCTTTTCCCTTTTGTTTTATCTCAGACCTCATCAGCCTCAAGCAAAATGCCTGAACATCAGTGCTCTGCCTTACAGGGGTCTTAGGGCTCAGTTCACATCTTCCCCACACCTTATCTGCAGCCAATTACTTCCTTCTCATTTGAATGAAATCACACATAGGAGCCCTGCAAGACACTTTTCTTTTTAACCCTTGTGTTCCTGCTTTTTTGTGCTTTTACACACACCTCACCTTTCTGTTTTCTCTTTGCTCTCCCCAGTCTGAATCACAGACTGGGTTGGAAGGGACCTTAAAGACCATCCAGTTCCAACCCCCTGCATGGGCAGGGACACCTCCCACCAGCCCAGGTTGCTCCAAGCCCCATCCAACCTGCCCTTCAACACTGCCAGGGATGGGGCAGCCACAGCTTCCCTGGGCAG